GAGAGGTTAAGAGAGAATACATGAAAAAGTCAGTACTTGTACCTTTTTTTGTGTGTGTCAAAAAGTAGCTCCAAATAATTTTTTTAATGACTCTGAAGTATCCAAGGACATACAGAGTATCTTTTTCATGTTTCCAGCACCTGACAGATAACCCTCAATTGGCCAGTAGGACAATAAGGTGGTTAAATAATGAACTGACAGAATGTGGTAACAGTGAAGCACTAAGCATGTGAAGACAACACAGTGAAAATGTAGTGAAAATTATTTCGCATAAATAGGGTGTGGTGGCACACGCCTGTAATCCCAGTGGCTTGGGATGCTGAGACAGGAGAATTGAGAGTTCAAAGCCAGCCTCAGCAACTGCAAGGCACTAAACAACTTAGTAAGACCCTGTCTCTAAATAAAACTACAAAACAGGGCTGGAGATGTGGCCCAGTGGTTGAGTGCTCCCCGAGTTCAATCCCTGTTACCCAAAAAAAAAAAAAAAAAATCACATATAATGCATAATATGTAATATTATGATAAATGTGGGTTTAATATAGATAAGATATTTATAATATTATGATAAACGTAGGTTTAATATAGATAAGGTATTTATATATATTTATATGTATTTGGGACACACGCACACATATATATTTTTCCTAGTTGCCCATAACAAGATAGGAGATGAATTAATTCAGGATTTAATAAGGAGATTAGAAACCCAAAATAGTTTTTTAGGGTGTCTTGGCCCTGGGCTTCTAGAAAACTCACCCTAAGACATCTTCCTATTGTATGAATCACAGGTAAGGTGATTACTTGTAGCCTGACCTACCCTAGGACTTCTTCCTCCTGGCTACTTGAAGTAGGAAGCACATAATCAATCAGAAAGCTGGAAAGCAGCCTGCCACCCACAAGCCACTGCTGATCTCCTGTACTGTCTGTCCGCACAACCAATACTTAAGAATGCACTGGAAGAAGCGGATAGTAAACCTGAGGCTAAAAAAAGTTTTAGTCCCACTGCAAAGCAACTGCCTCAGATCCCTGGATCACCAACAAAACATTATCCACAGGGGGAAATTAGTGACATAGCAAACAAACTGCAAGTTTTGAGGTGTGTCTGTCCATTTTCGGAGAATCTCCAGATGACATCATCTGGAGACATACCTAAAGTAATCTGAAAACTCAATGAACCCATCCAACAGGTCACCAAAAAACAAAATCAGTGGATGCTGAGTTCTCACATCTTCACTAACTCAGCACAAAATTAATTTCACTTTTAATTTTCTTCCTTTTACACTTTCACAAATCCAGATTCAATGAGCAGAGTACTGTGAAAGAGAATACTAAGAGAGTTTCTGAGTATGAGCTGCTCTGTGAGGGACCTCCACACACTTGATGCAGTGAGTATTGAATCAGAAGATATGTGTTTGGTTCAGGATGCTGTGACTCAGATATGCCACCTTAAACAGGTCTATCAAAATGATAATTCAAAGGTTAACAAACTTTACACTGGTCACAAAGCTATGTGGCTGAGTCACAATTCAAACTAAAGTCTTCTAATTTCAATCAAGCATTTTTCCCCCCATTACATCACAAAATTGGCCAAAAATACTTACCTGGGAATAAGTAGAACATAAGAAATATTCTACTCAAGATACTAGCTTTGTGGCTGAGGTTGTAGCTCAGTGGTAAAGTGCTTGGCTAGCATGTGTGAAGCACTGAATTAGATCCTTAGCACCACATAAAAATAAACAAATAAAAGCATTCTGGGGCTGGGGATGTGACTCAAGTGGTAGCGTGCTCGCCTGGCATGCATGCAACCGGGGTTCGATCCTCAGCACCACATACAAAAACAGATGTTGTGTCCGCCGAAAACTAAAAAATAAATATTAAAATTCTCTCTCTCTCTCTTTAAAAAAAAAAACAAAACAAAAACAAAACAAAACAAAAACAAAACAAAACAAAAAAAGCATTCTGTCCATCTACAACTTCCAAAAAAATATATATATTTTTTTAATGATACCTTTACTAATGGTAGCTACTGGTAAGTGTAGTATAATGAACTATGAAAGTAAGCAGCTGTAGGAACTTTGCTCAAAGGTAGATGAGGGCCAGCTCAGGCAGCCTCATCACATATCACTACAACCACAGAGGTCCACAGTCACTTCTAGAAATGAATACGTAAGAATGCACTGGAAGAAGTGGATAGTTTAATTTTGGTAAGAAAAAGCTTTAGCCTCACAATTCACATAGAGGATACAAAGGAATTTTGTTTTCCTTTTGATTCATGATGATGACTAAAGGAAAAAGCTTTCACTCCTCCTTTATAACCCAGTTTTAGTAACAACTTGAAAGAAAAAGGTGTACCTGTTACCTCCCCAGTGAATGGAATGGCCAGAGCCCCTCAAGAGTTATTCTGAGCCCAAATAAATCCATAGAACTGAGCCTCTGACACTTGAAGAGAAGGGTGATCAGCACAGTGTTATCAACCTTTTCCTTTGTCCTTGTGGTTTTCTCATTACATTCCTTCCACTACTTATTTATTTTTGGCAGTATTGGTTTATATGTGTATGAAGAAAGAAAGAACTAATCTTGGTGAGTAAACTGTGAAAAGCAAAATTGGGAAAAAAAGGTTAAATCTTAATACTCAAATCACCCCCAACCCAGGTTTAAGTTAAAGTAATCTAACCTTGGTGAGGAGAAAAGGGATGACTGACATTCCTGGGGGCGTTGCCATTCCATTCTGTTTTCTTGGAGGGGAAGTGAAGGGCCTGCCAAAGCTCCTCTCATGGGGAGCACACTACTGCTGAGAAAGTGATGGGATTGCCATGCAGCAGTAAGAACCCACGTGTGAGGAACAGATGCCAGTCAAGCCCACGCATCAACAAGTATTACTAAGAATCTACTAGCCAGATTGTTCAGTACCTTATCACCTTTTCATCTGGAAAAAAAAAATCCAGTTGAGGAGCTGGAGTTGTGGCTCAGTGCTAGAGTGCTTGCCACACATGTGTGAGGCCTGGGTTCCATCAGCGCCACATAAAAATAAATAAATTAAATAAAGGTATCATGTCCATCAATAACTTAAAAAAAAAAAAAAGATTTTTTTTTTTTAATTCAGTTGACGAAGTGGCAAAGAGAGGCTTTCTTTTGAAGGTAACAAAACAAGATGAAAATTTTATAACAGAGCTACCACTTTTCATGACAACTTTAAAGAAAGTGTCACAGGAAGGGGGGAGGAAAATCAAACCCAGGAAAAAGAATCTCTAGTGTCTACTGCAGTGGGCCAATGTAAGGACAGTGCTTCCATTACAGATATTCAGAAGGTATCTGAGTGTAAACCTACTTAGAATAAATTTATCTGGATCCAGCTGGAATTAGATGAGATAAATGGCTCTTCTAAAAAATGCTACAATGAAATGAATATTACTCTACAAATCTGACCAGCATTGATAAATACTCATATGTATCCATTTTATGCAATTATGTCAAAATAGGTTGAATAGTAAGAGTTACATATCTAAACCCTTATCATTTATGTTGGGAAGGGAGGGGAGGAGTGAAGAGGGGAGGGGAGGGGAGGGCCAGATAAGAGCTTTGTTACCTATCTTTGCTAACAATCTTAACTGTTCCATCAATCAACCCAACCTTCTATTAACTTGCTTTGTTCAGCAAACAGGCTTAAGAATGGAAAGCTACCTCCCAAAGAAATAAAAAAGCTTGTACGCATTTAGAAAAAGTTCATAAACCACCACAGGAATTCTCTAAATATATTAATCTAAAGTCCTATTAGAAGTCAAATCTAACTACAACTACTTCTTCCTCTATCACAAGGGTCAGCAAACTGCTGGCCAGCAAGCAAAGTCTGGCCTACCACCTGTTTTCATATGGTCTGAAAGAATAGTTTTCACATTTCTAAATGGCTGAAAAAAGAAATCAAAGAAACATGGTATTTCCTGATGTGAAAAATTAAATGAAACTCAAATTTTAGTGTCCATAAATAAAGTTTTATTGGAATATAGCCACCTCATTTATGCGGATATTGCTTATAGCTTTTGTGCTAGAATAGCTGAGCTGAATAGCTGAGACATGTGAAATATATCTGGTCCCAAAAGTTTGCCAGAATCTGCCCTAATTTGCCTTGAAGTAAATGGCCTTAACTGTGTAGCTGTGCACAAGAGATTTTAGATGTTTTACTGAATACCTTGAGAGCACTGTAAAACAGAAATCACCCCACTTGTAGTGAAGCTAAAAGCTGGCAAATCCCAGTGAGTTTTTTAAAAATCATATTCCTTAACAAAGAAAATAGTTCTTTTACTGCACTATTATTATTTTCAGCAAGGAAGGGACTTTAAGAATATTAGTAGTTGTACTTCTTATGCTATCAAAGAAGTCCAAAGTCTGCCACGTATATGCAAAATGTAACTAGACATATGGGTGTATTCTTGATTAGGATATTAAATATACAGAAAGAGGATCATGGGCACTTTTTTGCTAAATTACCTAAGATATTAAGACTAGCTGCAATGTTAAATTTTGTCTCAAAATAAAATCTTCAATATATTTTCCCTACCCCCTACACCAAACTTTTTGGTAGGAAATTTTTCCAATATACATAAAATGGAAATAATAGCTGAATGAAAATCTCTATAAATTCTGCTGAGAAAATTAATTAGTATACTGCCATATTTGCTTCACTCATTTTTTTCATTTTTTATAGTGGTAGGGATTCAATCATTAGAAAGTAAACTTCAGACCATCAGAACATTTTACCTTCAATATCAAATAATATCAGAATATTCAACTTCAAGGAGCTAAAGATACAATAAAAGAGCAAGGGTATAAAAAAATAAATTAGAACAAAAATATAGAGGGAGGTAAGTCAGATTAATGAAGTCACTGGCAACCTCTGAAATCTCAATTACTTAAAGTGTTAGCTTACTGAGACCATTTACTAAGAGTTGTCTGACTAATAATAATGGTCATCAAAGAGATAATGAGAGACCTCCAGTACTTACCTAAGGGCAGCAGCATGGTATGTGTCAACATAATCAGAAATGAAGAGCTCTCGGTTCTTGATAACTGGGTCTGTAATGACAAGTTCTCTTCCAGAATCTGTCCAAAAAAATATATAGTAATAATAATTAATTACCTAAGAGGATATTAAAGCCAATTTTCCCCAAAAGAGATAGAAAGTTTTTGTACAACATTTTTTTCAGATTCACCTCCCACTGAAGAAAGCCCAATAAATAGCCAGGTCTGGTCAACGTCTTAAGTGTGCAAAACAGTGCAGAGAATAATACACAAAAAAAACAAAGTATACAATTTGAGACAATTGACAAATTATCTTGTTGGCTGTGTGTTATACCCTTTACTAAGTCCCTGAATTGCCGAAATGAATTAATTGAATTAATTTAATAAGTAAAAACCTAAAGAAAGAAACAGAAACAAACAACTAACACATCCTAGCAATTTGTGAATACTTAAATATTTAGTGATCCTGTCCTTCCCTCTCACCCTCAAATATTCCTGAATGGAATAAAGCCATACAATGATTCAGTTGACAAGAATGACCAAGATGGGCACAGTGATGCACACCTATAATCCCAGTGACTCGGGAGGCTGAGGCAGGACAATTTCAAGTTTGAGGCCAGCCTGGGCCTCAAACTTAGGGAGACTGTCTCAAAACAAAACATAAAAAGGCCTGGAGATGGTGCTCACAATAAAGCAAGCCTGGGCTCAATCTCCAGTACCCCCTCCCTCAGCAAAAAAAAAAAAGAATGAGTTAAGTCATTATCTTTTAATAAAGAGTAATGATCTAACTGCGTTAATAGAGTTTTTATTATTTCAAAGATGGGGGTGGGGCGTGGAATGAGTAGGTTACCAAAAACAACATTATTCTTCAAAATCATTTTAATCACTGGTTTGTGGACTCAAAGACTATCAGCAAAGACAATCAATGCAAGAGCAGAAGAGACCAGACATCATGGTCAGACAGAGCCTGCTTCCACACCAGCACCACCACTGAAAAGATGTATATCCTGGGCAACTCCCATAGCACCTCTGAACTCAGCTTTCTCATGTGGAACTACAGGGACAAGCCTGCCTCACAGGATTCATGGGTAACTAATGTCAATCATACAGCATGAGGCCTCGCGTTTCTTGAGAATCAATTTTTAAAAGCACTATTATACACCTATACAAATGTAACATACATTTTATGTATGTATCTTCTGTGCCAATAAAGTTACTGCAATGTTTGCGGGAAAAGAAAAAAAAAAATCAGTTGCCCAGAACTATCTTCCTTCCTATTGTTCTCAAAGTCAGGTATCACACTGAATTCTGAAAAATAATTCTGAAAACTTTGCTTTGAAAACTGAAATTCACTTCCCTGAAAATACAGGGAACCTCAATAACACAAATTGGGAGGGTGGGAGGTGGGGGAAGACAATCCTATAGGATTTTAAAATAGTACTTACTTGTTGACTAGGAGGTGAAAAAGGGGAATTTAAAGAATGAAATTACTGATATTTCCAAAGAAGAATTATCTTTAGTCCAAGTTTAAGAGGAAGATACTATGGGCACATGTTCAGAAGTTTAAGAAAAGTAAAAAATAATGAAAGAGCTAGGATTTAGGGGCATTCCAGCAATGTTCTTATTTATTTAAAAAAAAAAGTTCTTTTTTAGAGAAAATTTACATAGTGACTATTAAAGATTTTTAGAAAGAACTTTACTCAAACCTAAGATTTATAAGAAGCAAACCAGAAGGACATACTTACCATTTTCATTATGTCGATCCTGAACCAAATGCTGATACACAGAATCTGGAACTTCAGACTGACGGTAGTACCATTTGACGTTCATGAGTAGATGGTCCCTCTTACTCTGAAAAGGAAAATCTAACAGCATTAGAAACAGGATTTCAGGTGTCTAAAAATGCAGATCACACCCATGATTGGGTAGTAGATAGGGACAAACAGTTACAGCACCCAAGTGTATTTTTTCCAAAATCCCCTCTGACTCTACTCCTCAAAGGGATTTATTTCAGAAAACAAAAGAGATCAATTCTGAAGCTGTATCTCCCCAGTTTGAATAACTATTTAATTCAATATCCTGTTTTCATTCAACAGTATACAATATTATAGGAATACATCCTTCTCAATCGTCTTGGTAAGTAATTATCATTGGAGCATACTGATAAGGCTCTTTAAAACAAGTGACTAGAAAGAACTTACCTAGAAAGACATGACACTAAGTCACCCTATCTCCAAGATCTATCATGCAGACTATACCAGAGTCAACCTCTACTTTGTTTTGCCACAGAACTTTGCAGTTATTGCTTTGTGCCAAAGTAGGGGTGACAGGTAGTGACGAAGGTGCTGTGATCCCAGAGCACATGTCTTATTTGTCTTTGAATTGTTATAGAACCTCTTGTACATAATTACTGGTTAATAATGAGAATTTCAGTGTTGATCATCTTCCTATAAATGTTTGTAGGACAATTAATCATGGTATCTCTAAAAGTCAACTTTATTCCAGTTCATTCAAACAATAAGGAATCAAAGCTGGGGTGTAGCTTAGTGGCAGAATAATTGCTTGTCCTACAATGAGGTTCTGGGCTCCACCCCAGCACAGAAAAGAAAAAAAAAAAAAAACAGAAAAGATGGGGATAAAATTGTCCTTCCATTTGAAGGCTATAGGGCTATAGCTTAAGTTAGCCTTAAGCTACAGTTAGTCTATGTTCCTGGTCATGAAGCGGTTCAACAGGGAATGCATGAAAATTTCCTGAAGCTTCATAAAATACTTTTCAACCCAAGTGCAGGACCTTACTTCCCCAAGGTAAATGCAATATGGCGCCTCTTAGCAGCCTCTACCTTCTCATTATAGGGCCCACTGGTCAGAAAGGAATGAGTGATGGTTAAATCCTAAACTATGTTAAGTGCCCTCATTAATGAAAATGCTTCCTGCTTTAATGGGAGATCATAAATATAGACCACAATTAAAGACCAGGAAGGTTCCAAACACCCTTTGCTAAAATAGTTAAGCCATTGAAAGAACCAGAAAGAGGAGGGAGAGGGGGACCTGCCATAAGTCTCTCAGAATTCCAATGTGAAGAAGGTCGATTCCAAAAAAACATATATAAAAAGAATCTTACTTTGCAATTTTCTTACTTTGCAATTATCTTACTTTGCAATTAACTGTGTCAAATGGCATGCCTTTTATATTTTTTAATAAAATAGACAATATATACAGAGAATAATCCTACATAATGCACGGTCTTTAGTCTTTAATCCCTCTTGTACTTCTATAGTGAAAAATTTAATGATGAAACTTATTCTGGGGCTGGGGATGTGGCTCAGTAGTAGAGCTCTTGCCTGGCATGCAACCCTGGGTTTGATCCCTACCATCACAGAAACAAAACAAAACAATTATTCTACACTGCCTATTCTACAAGGGGCGGAGGGAATGGGGTGAAAAGAGGACAAACCAGTTTGAGAAATAAGTAGAATAAATGTTGTGGGTAAAGGAGTAATTATTTTCAGCAGAAGAGTATGGAGGAGGTAACATCTGACCCAGAAAAACTCTGAAAGAGTAGGGAGAGGGGGACCTGCCATAAGTCTCTCAGAACTTAAGAGATTCCAATAGATTATTTTTTAAACAAAGGAGGAGACCTGAGAAATAAATAAAAACAGACAAAGTAGAAGATGTATTCACACTTCACATGGTCCACCTGCATGATGTCAGCACAACACCAAGAAGAATCTAATCCTCTCTGTGCTCTAGCCTCTAACTGCTGAGCACACCAGGAGAGAGGCACAAACACCAAGGCCTGAGGAATGCAGATAGAAGGTCTAGGAGACCAGAGTATGCCACCCAGGAATATTCCTGGCAGGCATAAGGATTGTTTTATGATACAGGAACAATTATTTTTCCTTCTCTCAAAAATCTGCAACTTCCCTAGGTTGAGTGATAAGCAGCAGAATTAGGATGAGATTACACACTGTGGAAAGAAAAATAAAAACCCAGGGAAAGAGCAAAGCGTGCTTGAGTACTCAAAGCTAAAGCCTTAACGTAAAATATACTAATACCTGCGTTCTCACCTCTGCACCCACTGACATTTGGGCCAGATGATCTTTGTTGGGGGTCTGTCCAGTGCACTGCTAGATATTTAACAACATCCATGGTTTCCAACCACTAAATGCAATGGCATCCCTCATCCAGTTGTAACAACCAAAAATGTCTCTGAACACTGACAGATGTCCCTGTGGGAATAAAACTATCTCCAGTTGAAAACCACTGGTCCATTTTTCATTTTGTTTTGTTTCTTAAGGAGAATAAGGCCAGGATGATAAGGATAAAACCTGGCTGAAACCTGACTCCAGTCTGGCAGGCTAGGGAACACAGACTCATGGAAATAATACAGTAAATCTTATTGTAGTTCAAATCCAAGTTCCATAACTAACCACTGTGGAACTGTGGGCACTGAGATTCTCTGAACCTCCCCTCTGCTGTAAATTGGGGACAGTGACACTAACCCAAAAGAACTACTGGAAGAATTTAAACATACCTTCTGGAACTGAGTCAGTGCTCAAAGAAATACTGCATCCTCCACAAGCAGGTAACTGTAACCACGGCTTCACAGAATAATTTCAAGAACTTTGCTGAGAAATGTTATTTCTCCACCAGAACACTGTTTTATATGGAGGATGGTGCTGATCTCTCATAATGAACTTCCCAGCTCATGCTAACTACTACACAGAGCATAGAGGAATTTGGGATCTACTAGCAGTCCTAGCAACAATGTTCTAAAATCTACATATCTAGTGCAATTATACTACTGCCTCTCTTTTTGAACCAAGTTGATAACTCTGGCAACCTTTTGAAATAGTTTTGAAGTTGTCATCTGACCCACCAATGCTTATTAATAATTCAAAAATATAATGCTTTTGGGTTTTTTTGGATCTAGATTTATGACTCCTAATAGTACACTTTTTACAAGGCATTGAAGGACTGTTGAATTTCCTAATGTAGTACTACCACATAACCAGACAGGGGCAGCATTGTGTTAAAAAAAAAAAACCAAAAAACAGAATCATCTTTATTCCACAGATACAACACAGCAAAGATAGACAGAAATTTTAAACAAATTTAAATCTGCAATAAGCACAATATTTCTAAACAGGCCAATAACTTAAATATTAAACATCTATAAAGGAAGGCAATGTGTTGTTTCAGAGGGTACTATACTGCCACACCTCCAGTGAGTTTCTTTAGTCATGTCAAGTGAAAGGACTGAACCAGATGATTTATGTGATCTAGATTTCTTGCTCAGACAAAACCAAACAGATAAAATGATGTGAGAAAATACCTCATGCTTTCCCTTCATCTTTTCAATGTATTAGGCTAACATTACCATCCTAAAGGTTGACAAAGTGAAATCTTTAGAAGAAGCCAACTTCTGAGGCACCAAGCACAGCTAAGGGGTCCTGGGAGTACCCCTCTCCCAGTGTGAGATCACCTCTACACTGGGCTGGTACAAAAGTTATCCACAGGAAATTCGCACATATCTTACTCCTGCCAGGCACAGTGGCACACACCTGTAATCCCAGGGGGTTGGGAGGCTGAGACAGGAGGCTCACAAGTTCAAAACCAGCCTCAGCAACTTAGCAAAACTTTGTCTCAAAATAAAAAAAATTTTAAAAGGGCTGGAAATGTGGCTCAGTGGTTAAGCACCACCTCGGGGTTCAATCCCTGATACCAAAATAATACTAATGATAATTCCTACCCCTAACTTGTCAAATATTTGTTCAAAAATCACAGAAAACTAAAGCCAGAAATAAACTTAGGATCATTTCATCTAACCCAAACCACCTGGGTTTTTGAATTCTGGCTTTGCAACTTACTAGCTAAGCGAGTTTGGGTACGGAATTTTTCTCAACCTCAATTCTCTCAAATATACAGTGTGGGAGAGGACTGGGGATGTAGCTCAGTGGTAAAAGCACTTGCCTGACATATGAGGGCCTGAGTTCGATCCTCAGCACCCCCCCCCCCGCCAAAAAAAATGTGGGAGGAAAACTCATGGTCCCTACCTCATTAAATTACGAGGATTAAACAAATTAGTATCAGCTGCATGGATTGGCTCTCAATGGCTGGGCATTACTATCACTGTTTCACAAATGAAGAATCAGGAAACACCAAGAGGCCCTTACAGGCTTTGCTCCTCTCAGATTCAAAATCATGCTAGTACAATAACAATATAAAAACAAGCCATGTTGGCTGTGGGGATGGAGCAACTTCATGTCTTAAAAATTCTAGAAGCCTATCAAGTGAGGCATAAACGTAACTCATTATTGACTAGTGATGTAACTAAATGATGGCGTAAAAGTCAAGGGTTAATAAATAACATATTTTAAACAGTGCTGAACCAAGAGAGAAGGCGGAAGAAGCTTCCTAGGTGAAAGGATCTTGGGGAATATTTCCAGAGAAAGAGAAGAGCCCACCAGGAAGTAATCTCCCATCATTTCACCTTCACAATAAAAGAAAGATTACAAGTGCTGGGACACCCAGAGCCAGAGACAGCACCTCACAGGAGAACATCTCCCAGTGAGGTTTCAAGATGGCAGTTCTGTACGAAAGGAGGATGGAACCACTCCAATTTTGACTAAGGATTGGACATCCCAGGCCTGCGTCTCACTGGAAATGAAAACTACACAGGAATTTAAGAAAATGAAGAGAAGACAAAACCCACGCTTCTTTCCCACCAAGGCTTGGAGAACAGTATTTGGGAGAAGAGGGATGATTTCTATAGGGCTTTGATTGACAGACAAAAGTGCTCAAATTATCCAATTCAAAAGTCAGAACTGAATTAAACATTCAAAACTGTA